ATATTAATAAATTTATTTTAATAAAAATAGTAGCCCATATTATTATAGACAAAATTTTTAAAATATATGCATGTTTTTTTTTTTGAAATACCTTGAATACTTATTTAAACAACAATTAATGCAAAACGAGTAAACAACACAAGAGACATACATTTATATGAAAACAAGTTTTATTTTATTTACTTTTTATAAAGTGTTTTACCGAATTCTAGGCAAAAGAAATACGATATGTAGGTACATACTAGGCTTCTATAAATCGACTTTCGAATAATCGAACAATCGACTTTTTGTCGAAAAAAGTCGAAAAGTCGAAGTCGACTATTTTGTTCCAAAAAAGTCGATAACTCGACTATCGTCTATGAAAAAAGTCGAAAAGTCGACTTTGTAAATAGAAGTCGAAAAAAGTCGAAAAGTCGGAAAGTCGAAAAAAGTCGAAAAGTCGAAAAAAGTCGAAGAAAGTCGAAAAGTCGGAAAGTCGAAAAAAGTCGAAAAGTCGGAAAAAGTCGAAAAGTCGGAAAAAGTCGAAAAGTCGAAAAAAGTCGAAAATAGTCGAAAATTTTAAAAAAGTGGAAAAGAGGTCAAAAACTCTAAAATAATCGGAAAAACTCGAAAAAAGTAAAAAATAGTCGAAATAAGTCGAAAATAGTCAAAAAGTTGGAAAAAGTCGAAAAGTTGAAAAAAGTCGGAAAAAGTCGAAAAAAGTCGAAAAGTCGAAAAAAGTCGAAAAGTCGAAAAAAGTCGGAAAAAGTCGAAAAGTCGAAAAAATTCGGAAAAAGTCGAAAAGTCGAAAAAAGTCGAAAAGTCGACCATTTATAAAATACTAAAAGTCGACTTTTAAATAAATGAAAAAGGTCGAAAAGTCGAAAAATCGACTTTTCATAAAATGGAAAAAGTCGAAAGGTCGTAAAGTCGACTTTTAACTAAATGCAAAAAGTCGAAAAGTCGACTTTTCGTTTCAACTATAGAACCCTAGTACATACAGTATATTTAAAAAGTACAACCGAATACTTATCTCATACACACTGTTTTCAACTATAATTCAGAAAGTTCTATTCTTACAATAAACCATCAACAAGTTTATTAAACATTTATGAAATTTATAAAATTATCAATCCCCTATAGAGATTAATGTTCATGTTATGTTTTTTATGTCTAAAAATGAAATTTAAGTGGAACATGTTATTCCCAAAAATATCTTCAAATAAATCTATGCATGACATATGGACAGACAGACCAATCAGCTCAACTCTCTATGGGGTTAATATTTAACAAAAACAAATTAATTTTATTTTGTTAAAAAATAAATAAATGATTTTTTATATATTTCTAATTAAAAAAAAAATTCTTTAAATTTCAAATTTATCACCAAATCAATAGGCTGTTTTATTGGTAAAACTACTTTGCATTGAATTGCATTTCTTGGCTTTAAAATTTTTAAACAAATTGAATTGTAAAATGAACTTCAAATAATAATTTTAACGAGGCCATCATATTTACACAAGGCAAATGTTTATTAACTAATAAAAATTCATTGCCAAATTTATTGGAAAATGATCTCACCAATATGTTAATAATAAATTTAAACAATAACCACTGAAATATTGGTCCTATATCCACCCAAATCGGTTCAGAATCAATTTATGAGTCGAATAAGCGATGTCTGTGAGTCTTTCTGTATGTCTGTCCAAGTATATCCTGTAATCAAAGTGCAGGCCGCCATATAATATTTTATTGCAGCAATAACGAAG